CACACACACACACACACACGTGTTAGGGGCGTGCAAAACAGGACTAGTTGTAAAAGACAAATGCAACAACATACATTCATATGCATGAAAAACTAATAAAGAACGTACGGTAGTTATGTATACCTTCATGCATAATGTTAATATAACCCTGACGCTTTTCTCTGCCATTCATAACATGTCTCGTTATGTTATGTCAGTCAAAGCTGTGGAAATTGAAATTTAAGACTGAGAACAACAATACGCACACAGCCGAATCTCGTATTCAAAAACTATATCGAACAAAATCTTCAACATCTTTGCCTGTTCTTGTCATGTTTCCCTCACCAAAAGAGAAACAGCTTCTCTTACCAAAAAGGAATGAGGGAGGAGTCCAAGAGAAAAACGGACAAGTTTGCAAAATGGAAATCGCAGAAAAAGTCAGTTTTTAAAATTTGCAGACTCATAACTAAACTACATTTCCGTTCGACTGTTGAATTACTTTTTTTTTGTTGTTGGATGGGAAATAGAAGTAAAAATAATGCTGCAACAACCGAACTGTTCATTTCTGTTCTCGACTATTATGATTTTTGTGTGTGGAATGGTAAACAGAAGTAAAATAGTAAACCAAGAGTTGATAATAGATAAATGTAGTTATATGTCTGCAAGCTTTATAAATTATTTTTCTTACCGGGTTCCATTTGCAACCTTGCCCATTTTCCCCGAGGACTATTCATATTGTGTGTAAATATCTCCACATGTTTGTTTGAGTTAATTAAGAGAAACACATCAACACAACAATGGCCACAATATAGTTCTGGGAAAAAGTAAGACAGACAGACAGACAGACAAAACAGAAAGAAAGAAAGTAAAGTAGTAGGAATTACAAGTGGTGTCGTCCAAACACCCGCTAACTGTCTCGGCCGGGCATTAATACAAATCAAAACGTATAAATTAATACTCATGTGAGGCAGAAACTTGTAAACAGAAACATTACCACCCAGGAGTTTTCTTTTTGAATTTGCTAGATTTGATTACTTTGAAACAAAAGAAGTGCACCAGGAAATAAATGAGTGTGTTTAGCATTTGCATGAACTCATCTGTGCTTAGTACATAATTAAGGACACGCATTCTGGTCTTTCGACAGCCCTTGAAGACGTGCTGTTTTGGGTCCAATAAAACAATATATTATAACTTGATATTCAGTCCGATTTTCCAATAGTTTTCTGTGTCTTGAATTTGAAAAAAGACAGCCAACAACACGTATACTCTATCATCTGCAAATTTGTGTCTCTGGCGTGTGCCTAGCAGTTCTTAGTTTAGTTTTAATAAGAGTTGTGTGGCTCTTTCAACACAATTAGATCAAAAGTGCTGAAAATTAGAGGTGTTGCAGGAGAGTAAAAAACACCAAAAAGAAGTAGGATAGATAAGGCTGATAGAGGTTTTCAGGATTAGTAGAGGTTTTACGGCGCTTGAAACTGCATAGGGGCATATGAGCGCCAAGGGGTGGATGTCAATAGAGAAATCCTTACAGGGAGGGAATCAGACATGCTTGGCTCACCTCTCTAGCTTCAACAGCACAGAGTCTGCTTCGACTATCAAGGCACCCCGGAAAATAGTGGGTTACAAGAGTGTGATAAACACACAATGTGTCCCCCCTTTGGGAATGGCCTGAGGATACTTCAGTCAGTAGCACCGCCCCGGGGGTCTGAAATAGGTTTAATGGGAATGAAGAAGTAAACAACACATGAGCACCAGTGAACCACCCACTGTCTGATGGTTAAAATGTGCTGCACCTTTACCTTTGGTCAGCTGCTGATCTCGCACAATTCATGATTACAGTAGGTCGTCAAAAAGTTAAGGATAGACAATTACTGGCATCACGACGTCTGTGATAAAAGTTCAGTGACCTCTGTCGTGAAGAACCATACAGACACACCTAGGCACAGGATGACACGCACACAAAAATACATACAACAAAACAGACGGACGGACGCACACATACACACACATACACACACAAAAACAAACACACACACACACACACACACACACACACTCATGAACACACACTTAGGTACATGATGGCACAAACACAATAATACACACAATGTAAAACCCACGCAAGCACTAACACACATACAGGCACACGCACTCAAACATACACACACACACACACACACAAACACACACACACACACACACACACACACACACACACACAA